ATGTAAATTCTTCAGAGGACAGAGCCAAGAACAACTGCCAAAGGGGTGCCCACCTTTTCTTCTCCTATAAGTGAGGATAAAGGGATGAGCACTGTGCTTAGTGCTCACCTGCCCCGAATGACCTAAGCAGCAGTCATCCAGACCACAATCATCACAGGCACCATAGGATTTTTCTGCTATTGTATAGTACTTTCTGCATAATTAGCGTTCAGTGTTTTTGAACGAATGAAGCTTGAATCCAGTTCTGTCACTGTGTATCTTTGTGCAGGTCACAGAATCTATAACTCTCACCTTTCTCATGATTGAGACAACAGCGACCTTGTTTATTTTCAGTATGATTAGAAATTACATGTTTAAGAGTTATTGATACTGTGGCTGGCATTCTGCAGGTACCTGACAAATGGCTGTGGTACAGGGTTGTTACCCTGAGAGCAGATAACCAGAAGTTCCTAGGAATAATCTTGTATGGTCAAACTGACATCTAGTGGTACAATTTTAGAACATATACCCAAAGTAGGTTTAATTGCTGGTTTGAAACAAATTGAGAACAAGTAGAAACTAACAGAGCGCCTGCTTTACATGAGCAGCAGTATTTAATCCTCATCAGTGATTTTCAGCCCAGATTACATATTACAATGACTTGTGAAACTTTTAAAACTAATATCCACATTTAAAAACTATTATCTGCCAACTGATGTTTGGATTTTGCCTTCAGAAATCCTGATATAACTTGTAGGAGGTATGGGGGTATGACTCAGGATGTGACATTTTTAAAAAGAGTGATTTTAATATACATCAGGGTTGAGAACCATTGCAACAGACCCATAATTATTTTTCTCATTTGAGAAATGATGAAAGTAAAACTCAGGGGCTGGGGATGTAGCATGGTAGAGCACTTGCTTAGCATGCTTGAGGCCCTGGGTTCAACCCCCGTTCACAAGACCCAAAATTCAGATGAATAAGGTAATTTCTACAAAGTTGAGTAACAGGAGGAAATTTTAACTTGAGTCTATCATTTTTCCACTGTCACATGGTCTGGTTTTTTTTTTTTCTCCGGTACCGGAAACCGAACTCACAACCTTGTGCTTGCCAGGCAGGCGCTTTGCTGCTGAGCTAAATCCCCAGCCCCTACATGGTCTGGTTTTGAGGATCTGATGTGCCCCACTTACCCTGTGCTTGGAGGAGGTTCAATTCAAGGGCAAATGGGGAATAGATTTACAGGAGTGCTCCTGTAAACTAAAGCTCTGTAAATACAGTAAGTCTTTGAGTTACAAACATTTGAGTTTCAAACTTTCACAGAAGCACTGTAGAAAATTCACTTTGTCGTTACCAACAAATCCAATTTACGAATGTTCTCCCTGAAAGGAGCTTGTTTGTAAGTCAGGGACTTACTGTAACAGCTTTGTGTTGATGGGGTAGTGTGGTCCAGTGAAGAACCTGATTGTCTGATCTTTTCTCTAGACTCTTTCTGGAGCTTTAAACTGCTGCTTTGCTGATGGGTACATTTGATAGCGTGAGGCTGATTCTGAACTGAATAGCTATAAGATATATTTAGAGCTCATTTTCTTTGTGATATCATGGGATATCACAAAGTTAAAGTTAAAGTTAAAGTCTTTTAACACAGATTAAGTTAATCATCAATTATTGAGCTAATTATACTGCTACCACTTTTTTGACCAAAAGCAGTTGAGGTCATAGATATTGGTAAGTAGAGGAAATGAAAAGATCTAAATCCTAATGTCTGAAACTGTTTCCTGAATTGGCCTCCCACAAATACGCCTGGAGGACAGATAATTTTGAAAGGCTATGAAGCACAAATCTATTCCAAATCCAACCTGTAGAAACTGCCGCTCAGTGCAGGGGTGGAAAATTATCAGCACCTCACCTGGTCAGTGACAAAGGCTGCAGCATCTCATCGAGACACACAAGATCCAGGCCACTGTCCACCAATTCCTGGCTCAAGTAGTACAGATGATTTCTCTAAATTTTATGGGAATACTTCCTTGATTGGTGCTGGGCAGCAGATGGGAGTAGTTGAGGATGCTACGTTTCAGCAACTTACCTAAAAATCTTTCACTGAAGGTCATCCACTGTCAGCCTGGGGGCTGAATCTGTCCCAGAGATGTTTTTGCACAATGTTAGTTTACAGTGTTTTAAATACTTTTCAATCAATTGCAAATATTTGACCCCGGAGAGATTTCACATAAAAATCCAGATTTTTGGCATGAAATATAATGCAGAGAGTCTCATAGTCTAGATCACCATAGTATACCCAAAGCCTAGAATAGTGCCTTTGAATAAGGTGGGGTTTTGCTTGTTTGTTTTGTTTTGCTTTGTTTTAAGGTGAGATCTTGCATGCTAGGCAAGTGCTCTCTAATGAGTTACACCCCTAGCCTAGTAAGTTATTATTTCTTTTAAAAATTTTTTTTTGGTGCTGGGGACTTATTGAACCTAGGATTTTCCCACTGAGTTATAATCTCCAACCTTTTTATTTTTATTTTAAGACAGGGTCTCACTAAGTTGCCCAGGTGGGCCTTCAAACTTGCAACCTTCCCACCTCAGCTTCCCAGAGTGTGCACTATTGCACTTGCCTAAGTCATTACTCTTTATTCCTGAATACTACGCTACTATAGGAATATACCACATTTACCCATTCATAAACTTGGGGTGTTTTTGCTTCTTGACTATTACAAATAATGCTACTGTGAACATTCATGTTAATGTGGACTTCTAGCACTGTCTAAAAGAAAATTACCCATTGTATATTGTTGTGCTAAAACCAATAATTTAAGTGTGTGTACTTTAAAATCTGCCATAATTTTTAAAAATTGTTTTGGCACTTCATTTTTAAAAATATAGCTAGAGTCTTAGGAAAATCAGAGCGATCAGTTTGCACTTTATTGCTGAAAGGCTCTGTAACTGTCTTCAACAAAACAATTCCATTTTATTAGATTAAGCAACAAACCCCTCAAAGTCAGAAAAACTGTCTTATACTTCCTAGTGTATCCATGACAACGACTAGTAGCTATTCTTGATGCATGTACAGTGGCAATCCAGATGAAGAAATGATGAGGCAGGGTGGAGGAATCAAGTGATAGCCAGTTCAAGGTTGTGACAGGGAGGGAGTAAATTCTAATATGTTACTTTTGTTTGTTTGTTTGTTTGAGACTGGGTCTCACTATGTAACCCAGGCTGGCCTGGAACTTCCGGCAATCCTCTGCCTCAGCCTCCTGAATGCTGGGATTACAGGTGTGGGGCACATGCCCAGCCAGTTTACTCTCGATCTTGATCATTCCCTGATCTGGTCTGTTGACATGGTTCACTAAGGAATACTAATTCAGACAGAATGTATAAACTAAGAGAAAAGTGAATCTTGGTTGAAAAATGGACAATTTCTCTAGATCCTAAGAAAAAAGTTACCACCGTGTTTTGCTGACATTCTGGGCCAAAGTTTCCTTTCACAGCAGGATGGGGATCAGTCATTTGCCTCATCAATCAGTGGAGTTAATGAAGGCAGAAAAAATGGAGAGAATGAAGAGAGTCTAGGAGAATCAGCCACAAAGGGTAGGTAAGGCGCTGTAGAAAGGATCTATGGAACTTTTGGAGTATTTTGTCATCATATTATTTTGTTAATATAAATAGATTAGCAAAAACATGAGAGCAGGAATGAATGCCAGTTTGTCTATTGTGAAAAAAGAAGTAAATCACTTTGGAAATAGGAGAGGAAAAAGGACCTCTCAGGGATCCCTGCCATACCCATTCTGCTCTCCAGCCCTTTCTTCTGTCCTTTTCAGCACCTGGAAGGTCCTCTCCACTCCCCTTGCCTATCCCAGGTCCAGGAACAAGAGTTCCCTCACCTCTGACTCCAGCGCCCTCCTCCCCTGTACTCCCTCAGCACATGCACTGTGTGCCACACAATTCCCACTGGATTAAACATATTGTCTTGAAAGGTTCGTGTATGTGCGTCTTATATAACCCCTTGTAAATGCCTCAACACAAGGGCCATTTCTTCTGTTGCTGCTGTCTCTCCCACAGTGGTGATGGCCTAAGAGACCTTCTGTGTGGCCTTGCTGGCTGGCTGGTGAGAGAGTTTAGTGCAGCTCTCTTGCTCTTGCCAGCCATGAAAAGAGTGCACAATAAAGTCCTTTCACTATTAAATGGCAAATTCAAGGACAGAGGGGCTGAGAAAGTACTTGGACAGAATTACCCATTGTTTTGAACCCCTCATGAGCTCCAGATTGCAGAATCCTCAGGTTAGATGTGGACACAGATGGAAAGTGTACAGTAATGAATAAAAACATGGGTTACATGAGTCAAGAAAAGGGAGGATTTTCTGCTATGCATAAATGGATATTCCCAGAAGCTGCCCCTCCACCACGGTTCATAGCTGCTAGGAGTTCACAGTGGAAAATATCACTGTTTATATTTTAATAACTATGCCCCCAGAAAAAAGGATGCAGTTAGGGAGAACAAAGTGGGAGAGGGGTTCCACACTGCCATTTTCACTGCTGAAGGTTCCTATGCCTTTTGGGATAAAACAGGAATCAATACTTAGGAAAGAGAGTTGGACTCCTACTACTCTGAATTCTGGGTCTCTCCTTTTCTGTGGTTATTTTTTGAGTATCATGTGCTCTTCAGATTCCATCTTATGATAGTTTCCAGCTGCTCTAAAGTGCTTAAATCTTTTAAGCATTAACCATACTGAAGCTCATGAGAATTGTTCATTATAAAGTCTTGAGAAACTGCCGAGTTATTTCCCAGGAATTTAAGTGTGTTCACACCCACCCACTCAGTATGAAGGGGAAATTATCGTGTTGGCTTGTTTTTGTTTTGGTTTTGTTTTGTAATAATCTTGTGACATGACTGCCACATTGCCTAACAATTTCTGTGACATGCCTTCCACACTGCCCTGTGGACTCTTCTAGAATGCGACTAGACATGCAGATTTTTTTAAAAAGCGTGAGACTAGACTTGCAGATTAAAAAAAAAAAAAAAGAAGGTCACCGGAGCTGTTTCTTTATTAGACAAATGAGATTCTAGTTTGGGTTCCAGAGGATAATTTGTACAGCTTTGTACAGCTTTGTAAACAATGTTGAGTCAATATTTCTACTTCTACTCTAACAAACTTGGAGCTCTGATCCATATTTAATTTATGGTTTTCATGTGTTAAATGAAAAATATCCTCTGTTGCCAAATGCGATGTCGGTCCTCTTTACCCCTCCGTGTAATTACTACACAGTTAAGAAATCAAGCCTGCAGTTAAATAATTTTTCTTTATAAACAGTGACAAGATTGTACAGTATCAATGAAGACAGGACGAAGCTGGTCCGCTGTGCCTGCATCTCGGAGCAAGAGCAGGATTCAGCCTAGAGATGAGCACCTTTGCTTTCAGAGAGAGAAGTCTTGATGTTGGAAAAAGTCTTCCGAATATTTACTCAGCTAAAGACCTGACGTGTGAGATTCAAATGGCCCCATAGCAATCCTTTTTTCCCGGGCAGTCCGTAGATCTTTGACAAGTGACAAGTGACGTCTGTTTTGTGTCTTTAGATCTAGGACTGGACTTTGTAACCAGGGATTCGGTGTGCGTGGCTTCACAGGCTGCAAAGAAAGATTAACGTATGAGTGCATATGTCACACATGTGCTCTTGTGTGAGAGGTTGGCTCAAGGTGAAAATCTCCTCAGTGACAATTTGTCACAATAGTTCTGTGAATTACTCAACTGAGTAAGAAGATAGAATCTATGAACAGAAGATCTACCTCCAAGATCCTAGTCAGAAAGCCATCTGAGTGTACAATGGAAGACAATTCACTATACATCTAAATACTTGGTATTTATACATCAAACAAACCGACTGTTGAGTAAAACAATTCTGTGCCCTACCTTGACAAGGAGACCAGGTCTGAATTTGGAGCTTTCAGATTCTTTAGAGAATGGGCCGTCTAGGAAAGCTGGCCCACAGCCCACCCATCTCTCTCTCCACTTCCGGCTCCATCCCGCATTCTGAGGACCTCATAATTATGGGGGACTCTCCAGTTTGCACATCCAAGTTATATTCAGAAACCTTGCAAAGAACTACCTATTGGCCACTCCTTTTCTCCAAGGCTGCCCATCCGTGGGAAGACAGCTCAGCCCACCAAAGACCAAAAACAGGTGAAAAATTCCAGAGTTTCAGGTACCTACAGTATACTGTGTATAAGGTGGGTGTGAGCTATGGTAGATTTCAGATTTCTTACCCTGTGAGGAGGGGTGTGGTCAGAGGTAAGGGCCGAATCTCCAAAGCAGAGAGCCCAGGGCAGAGGCCTCACTGATCCAGAGTTGTACTGGTTAGGTTACTGCGGGCCATCCTAACAGGAGGCTGACTCAAGTGCTCCACTGCCTACCATGCTTACTAAAGTGCTGATGTACCACGAAAGTGCAGGGCCACAGCTTGGTAAGAACAACACGTTCTACAGCGCACAGCACTGACATAGGTTAGAATGGCAGATAAAACTAGGCTACATTTAAAATGGACAGGACCAGGGCTGGGGATTTAGCTCAGCGGCAAAGCGCCTGCCTGGCAAGCGCAAGGTCGTGAGTTCGGTTCCCGGTACCGGAGAAAAACCAAAAAAATAAAATAAAATAAAATAAAATAAAATAAAATAAAATGTACAGGACCAGAAGCTAGTTTATGGACAGTTCTTTTTAGTTATCATGTGTATAAAAGTCATAAAAGAAAGATTTAGTGCTTACTGATATCTAATAAAAAAAATTCCCTGCTGATAATGCAGCACTGTAAATGTACCCTTCATTTTCCTTGTTTGACAGGAATCAAACAAAATAAAATTGATCAGAACATATGTATTTATAGGGAACAGGCTTATCTGTCTTTGTATATATTTTATCTTCGTCTTCATTACATAAATAGTTTTTTTTTTTCTTTTTGAGATACTTGACATTGAACTCAGAATTTTGCACTGAGCTATATTCCCCAGTCCTTTAAAAGTTTTTTATTTTGAGACAAGGTCTTACTATGTGGCTAAACTTGAATTTGCAACCCTTTTGCCTCAGTCTTCCAGAGTGCTGGGATTACAAGTGTGTATTGCCACACCTGGATGAATATTTTTATTGTGTCTTATTAATTTGATGGAATCACTTCTGATCTTTTTTTTTTGGTACCAGAGATTGAACCCAGATTGTCTACCTCAGGCACGCTAAGCCACACTGTAACTTGAGCTACATCCCCTGTCTTTTTATTTTTATTTTTGAAATAAGGTTTTGTAAGTTGCCCAGGGTAGCCTCAAATTTGTGATCCTCCTGCCTCAGCTTACTGGGTGGCTGGGATTACATGGGCACGCCATGGTGCCTGCCTAATTTTTTTTGTTTGTTTGTTTTTGTTTTTCTTCCGGTACCAGGAATCAAACCCACGACCTTGCGCTTGCCAGGCAGTGCCACTGAGCTAAATCCCCAGCCCCCCTATTTCTAATTTTTATGCATGACTATTCTTCAATTAATCTCAAAAGCCTACCCAGAGTTTAATATATGCCCACTTACATACTTGTGGAAGGAATATCCTACCTTTTATAATATTCCCTGTTTTACTAATAATAATTTCAATGATATATTTATTACATTATTACTAGTTAAATAATAAGAACCAACATATTTATTCTCTTTTTATTACTCAATAAATGGATAAGTCAATTATAATGAACCATTTCTTTTTTTCTTTTTAGGTACTGGGGATTGAATCCAGGGCCTCATGCATGCTACAAGAGTGCTCTACCACAGAGCACTACCCCCAGCCCCAAGGACCATATGTAAAATTATTATTACAGTATTAATTAAAATATTTTAACTGCCAAGGTATATTGCTCTATTATAGTTTTATTATATTTTTGCCTATTATATTTGAAATAAAAAGTGAAGTCACGATAAAAAGTATGTCTGATCTATACATGAAAGTTTGTAGAAGCTTCATTCATAAACCAAAATTAAGAAGCATCCAACGTGTCCTTCAATAAGTCAATGGACAAAGTGATACATCTATACAGTGGAATATTATTCAGAGATGGAAGAAAATGAGCTACCAAATTATAAAAAGACATTCATGAACCTTCTTTAGTGCACTGATCATTTGAAGAAGCCAGCCTGAAAATGCTACATAAATATGATTACAATTATGTGACATTCTGGAAAGCGCAAAATTACAGAAACCATGAAAACATTGATGTTTGTCCAGTGTTTGAGAGGAGGAGAAAACGATTAAATAGGAGATTTTTAGGATGGTAAAGCTGCTCTGGATGGTAGTGAGATGTCATGGATACATGAGATTATCATTTATTAAGTTCTACTGAAACTGACAGCACAGAGAGTGAACCTTAGTGAATGAAAAATTTAAAAATTGCTTTGACAAAGAAGGAGATCCCAGGAAGGAATTCAGACGGGGATAAGAGAATCCAACTGTGCTACAAGTGTACAAAGCAACTTTACAAACGAGTGGCGTCTGTAAGACTAAAGGCCACAAGAATTGCACACAGGAATATGAGCTCTAGTCAACAAAATTGTGTTCCAAGGGAGTTTGGGTTGCTAAGTCTGACACACGTACACTGAACCTGAACCACAATGTAAAGGAATGGAAGATGGTGGGAGCCAGATTTTTGATCGGTTTTGCTGATCAGGTCATATGCCAAGTATTTTCTATAATTAATTAAATCTGTGGTTTCAAGACTTTGACATAAATATTTTAAAAACACACTGTAAACTGGGAGTGGTGGAACACATCTGTAATCTCAGCTACTTGGGAGGCTAAGACAGGAAGATCTCAAGGTCAAAGCCAGCCTGGGAAGTTTGGAGAGACTCTGTCTCAAAAACAAAACAAAAACAAAAACACAAAAAAAAACATCATCCCAGCCACTCAAGGTGGAGACAGGAGGACTGCTAAGAGTACAAGGCCAGCCTGGACTACAGAATGAGTTCAAGGCCAGTCTGAACTACATAGTGAGATCTGGTCAATCAATCAATCAATCAATCAATCAGACTGAGATGTAGATCATTGGTACAGTGCTTGCCTAGCATACATCAGACCCTGGGTTTAATCCCTAGCAACACAAAAAAAATAAATACATATATAAATACATAAATGCCAGTGTAGTGGAACACACCTCTAATCCCAGCACTTGGGAGGCTGAGGCAGGAGGATTGACATGAGTTCAAGGCCAGTCTGGGCTACATAGTGAGACCCTGTCTCAAAAACAAACAAATAAATAAATAAATAAAATAAAAATAAAGTGCATGAAAACCATTTTATCAGACAATACTGTATTGGTAAAGATGTGAAGAAGTGATCAAAATTATAATTTTCCCTAAGCTTTTTCCCAGTGGTGCTAGGAATTGAACCCAGGGCCTCACATGTGCTAGGCAAGTGTTACCACTAAACTACATCCCCAGCCTTCCAACGTTTTGTTGTTTCATACCTAGATTAAACAAGATACAATTAAATAAAGATGAACATAAATCACTAAAAGTTGTTTGACAAATCTTGGTAAAGTATTCTGGACTAATTTCCAGAAACTAAAAAAATAAATAACTCTACTGTTGATCAGATTTCTTTTTTTCCTGTATTGGGGATTGAACCCATGGCCTTTGCACTGAACTGCATCTCTAGCCATTTTTAATTTTTATTTTGAGAAAGAGACTCACTAAATTGCTCAGGCTGTCCTCAAACTTTTAAACCTTCCTGCTTCAGCCTCCAGAATAGTTAAGAGTATAGGGATGCATCATTATATCCAAATGGGTCAGTTTTAATTTGAAAAACCAATCTGAATGGTCAGCAATAATTTCTGATGACAGATCACTATACTGGGCACAACATTAAAATTTTGATGTTGATGAATTGTCAACTAAAGCTTATAAAGGGTTTCTCAATATCTCTGATAATCACTGTTAAATATTGTAGTATAAAGGTTCTCAAACTTTATTCAGTAGTTCATATGGATGTACAGATAGATAAACACACACATACACACTGTAACCCTGGAATTCTTGTTTGTTTTGAGACTGGGTCTCACTATGTAGCCCAGACTGGCCTCTAACTTGTGAACCTGCTGCCTCAGCCTCTTGAGTACTGGGATTACAGTCCTGTAATTCTTTTGTTTGTTTGTTTGTTTGTTTTTCCAGTACCTTGTGCTTGCCAGGCAGGTGCTGTGCCGCTGAGCTAAATCCCCAGCCCCAGTCTTGTAATTCTTATTTTACCTACTTTTATTCCTATTCAAAATATCGTGAGAACATTATTCCAAGTCATTAAATTATAAATATATGAAAATGGTTATTAATAGCTCCTTTCGCAGTGATAACTAAGTAGAACTACAGGAAAGTGATGAAATTACAGATAAGGCAGATTCCAAAAGGCAACTCCCAGCCACAGGGGAAACTAAAGGACAGAGATATCAGCCACACTCTTTCTCTGAGGAAATGACAAGATGTTGGGGAAAGAAAAGGATGAGGTCACAGGAAAGCCTGGGAGGAGGAGATATCTGTATAGGATGTGGGAACAACAAACTACAGCCCTCTGACAGCCGAGGACAGGGTCCACCGGCCTCGCAGGCAGAGAAGCGGAGTACATTCCCTAGATCCCGGCAGGATGTGTCCTTTGCCAACTGAAAATCACTCTTTTGAAAAGACAATTCAATTTCCCTGTGACAAATGAGACCTGCACTTGTCTACATCTCCCCAAGGGATCCAGTATCAGGGTTCTGCCATCACACACAGCCTTTGTGTCAGTTAGGAAGAGGGCTCCCCCTCTTGCTGTTACTTCTTCCAGACCCTGCAGCCCTATACTAGGGCATAGGACACGGGCAACATCGGTTGGTGTGTTAGCTTTCTGTTGCTATGACAAAATACCTGACACAAACAACCTGAAAAGAGGGAAGATTTATTTGGTGCATGCTTTCAGTCCACGGTCACCTGGCCTCAGTGCTTTGGGCCTCTGAGGGCAGACTGTCATGGTGAGGAACACATGGGGGAGCAGAGCTGCTCACCTCATGACATGCAGAAAGGAGAGAGGGAGGAAGGGGAAGAAGAAGAGAGCGAAGGAAAGAAATAGGAAGGGGCCAAGGACCTGATGTACCTTGCAAAGACACACTCCAGTGACTTACTTCCTATAACTAGGTCACCTTCTAAGGTTCCCATCATCTCCCAATAGCCTATGAAGTTATGAATCCATCAAGGCATTAATCCATTGATGAGGTCAAAGGCCTCATGACTGCATCATCTCCCCAAGCCTGGGTCTCTGAACATTGCTTCAATGGGAACCAAATCTTCAACATGTGAGTTTTGGGGGAGACATTCTCAGTTCAAACTGTAACAGTTGACTTAAGCTGCTACTCGGCCCCTTGGCTAGGAACCTTTGTGCATCACTATATAGGCACAACCTTGCAAGATGGCCTTGTCTGATATGATTAGCAACACCACTAAGAGGGAACAGCATGACAGAATGCATGCAGCACAATAGGGAAAAGAGTAGCAAGCAGTCCAGCTTGTAGCAGTAGTTTAGGCTGACAGGGAGAATATAATATTATGTGACTTCGGGATCAAGTAGAGGAGCCTGGAGTAGTCAATGGGCATAAGGGTTTCAATTAGGATAGTGACAAGTTTAGAGACATAATTTGAGAAATTTAACCTGGTAGCTTCCTGTGGTATAAATTAGCATAGGATAAAGAGACTATTTGGGAGACTAATAGGTTTTCTCAGCCCCAGCACTATCATTGACCTTTTGAGTCATATACTTGTTAGCTGTAGGGAGTTCTCCCTTTGCACTGTGGGATGTTTAGCAGCACCTCTAGTCTCTTCCCATCAGATGTTCAAAACTCCCTTCTTCCCCATGACATTGACAATTGTCCCTAGGGAGGCAAAATTGCCCTAGTTGAGAATCACGTAATAGACCATGTGGGAAATAAAGATGAAAGGGTGAACGTTAGGAAGGGTATCGGTAAAATGTAAAAGCTTTGCAAGTGTTAGGTAGGACTGTGACTGAGAAAGGGAGCTGATTCAAACAGAATCACAGAAAAGGCACTAGAGGCCATGTAGTCTAGGATGCTTATAATTAGCTGGGAATGGCAGCACACATGCCTGTATTCTTAGCACTAAGGAGGCTGAGGCAAAAGGATCATGAGTCTGAGGCCAGCCAAAGCTACATAGTAAGACTTAGTTTCAAAAAAAGAAACAAAACAAAAAGAAACAAAGGGAAGAATAGGCTTAAAATTGTTCACGATAGCAATAATCATGCCATGGATAAACCTCACTGGCTATGATACAGCCGCTACACAGAGCTAATTGCTCACAATATAGTCGACTCAGGAAAAGCAACTTGGTAAACCCATTTAAAGGGTAATTGGTAAAACCCATTAATCATCACAAAAATTATCCTTGCACTCAGCAATGGTATTTCTGGAAATTTATCTTAAACAATTTAAGTAGAGATAAGCAATGCTTATGTATAAAGCAACAATAGGTGCATGAAAACAAACGACTTTGTTCTCAACACTTATACTCTCATGTCCATCATACTGCCTGTTGAATGAAAGGCCCAGATTTTAGAAGTCTATTCCCAGGAGAAATTGTGGCTAATGAAACAAAACCTCAGATGAGAGGGAACGACAGTTATCAAGGATGCATGCAGAAAAAGAATCGAAATATATGATATATAGGTAGCCGGGCGTGGTGGTGCATGCCTGTAATCCCAGCACTCGGGAGGCTGAGTCGAGGAGCATTCCCTGAGAGTTCGAGGCCGGCCTGGACTACGTAGTGAGACCCTGTCTCAAAACAAACAAACAACAAAAAAAGATATATCACGTACAGGTACAAATTCCCTATGATGAATGTGATCATTATGTATACCTAAAATGTACCAATAAACTTAACTAATTAAAAATAAAGAATGCACGCAGAGCCAGGTGTGGTGGTGTACCCTGGTAATCCAACTACTGAGGCGCAGGAAGATAGCAAATCTGAGGCCAATTTAGGGAATTCACTGAGACTCTCTCCAAATAATACACAAGCCTCTGCATGCAGTTCAGCCCTCGTTGGATTCAATCCCTGGTGCAGGCTTGGTAGGGGGGTGAACACTCAGAAAAGTTTAACTTCTTTTTCAGAGAGAGCTTGACTACAAGGATTGGAAAAGAAAGGAAGTTAGACGGAGGGCTTGTTAGGGCTTCACCAGTGAAGTTAGTATCAGCTGAGTAAAAAGGAGTGGTTGAACCTGGGATTTGTGTAGAATCTCGAACTTTGCCTGAGAGCATTTGCTGAAAAGAATTTGCCTTCTCTGGGGGAAGCTGCTGGGGAACAGTCTGTTCACACAAAAAAAGGACGTCAGGAAAAACACAATAATCAGAATAGAAGGAAAAAAAAGTAAGCGTCCGATTGTCCTTCTCCTGGACTTCCCGGGAACTTGACTTTTAAGTGGCTCTCTGAATATGGAATCTCTGTTGTTACCTTATTTAGCAGGGATCCTTCCTCTCTAGGGCGAAGCGGAGAATTTCACCTACGCTACTTCGTGATCGCGGCGAAAAGGAGGAGTCGGGAAGGCGGGCAATGGGCGTGGTCAACTCGGAGTCGGCGGGAGGCCACGCCCCTCCCAGAGTGCACCGCGGCCGCCGCCGGTGTGCGCGCCCGCCTCCCGCCGGCAGTGGAGGACCGTCCCGCTATGGAGGCTCCCGGGCCCAGTGCTGGGCCTTCGAGGCGCGGGCGGCTGAGGCGCCGGCGTCCGCCCCAGCCACACAACGGGTCGGTTTTGGCCCTGCCCTTGAGGCCCAGGAAGGTCCGGAGGCAGCTGCGGAGAAGCGTCGCCTCCCGCATGGCCGCGCTCAGGGCCCAGGCGCTGCCGAGCGAGGACTCGGAGGACGCGAGGGTGCAGACGGCGGCCGACGCTGTGGGGGACGCGCTGCCCGCGGGCGCGG